TTTTTTTTTTTTTTGGTACTTTGCTAAATTTTATGACACCAAACTGACAATCACTGATATATTTTAATATGAAAAGAACGGGTTAAAGGGAATAGGCAGAAGAAGAGGAAGACAGACAGAGAGAGATACAGAGAGGTTTATGCAAATAAGGAAAGAATTTAAGGCACTTTTTTTTCGGTCTTTCACTTTTCGCTTTCCAACGATACCCCCCGACAAACCCAATATAAATTTTAGTGCTAAAAATTGTTGATGAGGTTTTTGAAGGTTGATAATGTAGCAAACAAAAAAAATTTCATTAACGTCATCTATTCACACAATAGAAAAGAAGATTTCTTTTCTTTTTTTTTTTTTGCTTTTGAAGCAGCTTTCTTCTTTTTTTTTTCTGGCTTAATTCTGAAAATATTTCTGTGTTTATTTTCAAGAATTGTACTATTGTTCGTCTAATATATTAGAGATGTACAAAGCAAAAAAAAAAACTTTTATCTACAGGGAAATGAAACTAAAAAAAATTTTAATTTCTAACTGCTAAAAAATTGCCGGTTTTATTAGAGTAGAACTTGGTCTCGTTTTTTTTTTTTTTTTATTTGAATCTTATTCTAGGGTTTTTTTTTTTGAAGTAAACCAACAGACGAAGTGGTAAACACCGTTCAATAGAGACACTGTCATTTATTGCTGCTGATAAAAGGCAAAAATGATGCAATAAATGAAGCTATTTTTGTCAATATCTTTATTCAAATCAAATCAACCTTGTTATCCATTGCCTTCTCGATATGTAGTTGAGCTGTTTTAACAACTGAAATCACTGGCGAAAAACATTTTGTATATTCCTTAAAAAAAAAGTAAACAAACAAATGAATATTAGAACTCTAATAAATTAAAAGTAAATTTTTTACACAGTTTTAAAAAAGTTTATATTTTGTTTCTTTTCTTTACCAAAGTGCTTAAGACGACTGAACGTCTTTCACTCCCAACTTCTGTCCTCCCCCAAATAAATAAATAAATAAATAAATAAGGACTTTATAGAGCAAAGGACTGCTTAATTAAATTAAAAACATCCAATAAAATCTAATAAAACTTGGCAAAATTAAAACTGAAAAAAAATTTGTTAACTGTAACAAATGCTGTTTGAAAACTTTGAAAATTTTTGCGACATTACAACAAATATTGATCAAAGATTAGTAAACCAAGCAATCTCCCTTTACCACCACCCTCACCTCCCATTGCCCATCAATCCAAATTACGCATTGGTCTGGTAAAAGAGCATTGAAAAAAAGTAATAATAACTGCCTCAAAAACAAGTTGTATTCAAACACTATTTATACGAGTGAATAGAAAAAAACAGTTGTTTTTTTTTTTTATTTCTTTTATTTTCAGGGTGAGTTTGGAACGTTAAAAAAAATTTTACAAATAAAATTCTATAAAGTTGGCAATAAACATGTGGCAACTGGAACAGAATTTGAAACGCTGTTATGGAAGTGTGATTTGAATCCGGAAGATACAACTGAAATTGTTGTTGTTGATGAAAAATATCAATAGAGAAATTG